TAATGTTTTTTTTCGCTACACAGTTCTAACCATGTTTCAAAAATGGAAACTAAAAGCCCCGAATTTAATTTTGTAATTAAATTAAAGACATTAGTTCCATTTCATCCTCAAGCGAATTTTTCTATATACATATATCTTACTATATATATATATCTTACTATATATATATCTTACTGTTCTTTCTTTTTATTTATATACATATATATATATATATATATATATATATATATATATATATATATATATATATATATATATACGTGTGTATACACACACACACACACACACACACACACATATATATATATATATATGTATGTCTATATTTCTGAGATGAGGTATTGTAATTATTTACACGATTTACATTGACTGTTGTCCTCATCAAAAAACTGGAAGACCTCATTAGAAATGGTAGCTATAATAAAGAAAAACACAACAACGAAAACAGAAATAAAACTGTAACAGATCCTAGTTAATAACAAAGACCACTTCGCACCTAAGACATACAATAATTATCGCAGCGTGACACCAAGCTACCTCACATATGCGGTCTCGCTAAAATTCACAAAGACGGTACGCCGCTCAGGCCAATTGTTAGCTGCCAATGCTCTGTGTACCACCCTCTGAGTCGCTTCCGTGTAGATATAATTTACCCATTAATAGGAAAGTCGCCTTCATATGTCCGAAACACCGCCCACTTCGTGGAAATAATCAAAGATGCTCTCATCAAATCCAATCAAATGGTGAGCCTGGAGGAGGTTTGTTCACTAAGGTACCCACCGAGGAGGCACTATCAGTAGTCAGGGACAGATTGGCCCCAGACTTACCCCTAGGCGAATGGACCAGTATACCAATAGATAACCTGATGGAGATACTGACTTCCTTCGAACACACTTCGGAATGGGATCAGACATATATTGACAGGATGAAGGTTTAGCAATGGGCTCGCCACGATCGCCAGCAATGGCTAACATTACATGGAATACTTCGAAGAAATGGCACCAGAATCAACATCACTAAAGCCAAATCTATGGCTGAGATACGTAGAGGAAACCTTCATAGTTTTGCCACACCAGTAAGAGGTCCAGCTACTGAACCATGTGAACTCAATAAGAAAAAAAAAACTGGTATAGGAGGGTACAAGAGGAGAACAACATACAGAAAACAACCACGTGAAGGGATTATTGCAAGAAAAATACAAAAGATCTGTGGCCCATATAATACACTGTAACGCCGTAACACGTGGGGAAATAGAAAATCAGGCGTAGCGGACCATATATGGAGGGAAAATTGAGATCACCGCCCCCTGTAGGATGAGGTTGAAATAATAGACAGACAACATCACTGGAAAATACGAAAACTTATGTTCATGTGCTAGCCCCCCAAAAAAAAAAAAACTAAGCTGGCCAAGCATAGAAATTAATACAATATGGGAACTCTCGGTTGGTCGATTATGTTGATCAAAAAAATCGCGAAGTGCGCGAAATGCATTTCTGTTTGAACGTCCAGTAATAACTTTGCATATGAGCTCTGGTAAAAATGGTTACTAAGACATTAAGTTTATAAGTCCCAAAATTCATACACTGATGTCCTCATGGGCAAGTGGCTAAAAGTGTTGGTTAAAGTAATCCATTGACTTGACCCAAAGAGTTGTGAGTTCAATACCTGGCAAGAACGGATACTGAGATATCCGGAAGAAATAAACGTTCCGGTTCTAAATTCCAAGCACCTGATGAAGGCCGGAGCGTACAGCGACCGAAACTTAGTGAATATATTATCAGTGATAGCAACAATATGAGTATAACAGTGCGAACAAATTAAATAGTATATATATATATATATATATATATATATATATATATATATATGTGTGTGTGTGTGTGTGTGTGTGTGTGTGTGTGTATCTATGTGTGTGTGTGTGTGTGTGTATTAAAAAGTTATCGGTCCGACCAACACACCCTTACAAAAAGAAAAAACAAAGTGGGGTAGATTTTGAAAAGTGGTTGTACAGAAAACTATATACATTATAAATTATACATACATTATACATATACATATATATATATATATACATACATACATACATACATATATACATCATACATATACATACATTATACCTATACATATGGATACATATACATGATACATATACATACATTATATATGAAAATATATATAGAGAGGAGAGGAATGATGTATAAGTATATATATATATATATATATATATATATATATATATATATAGTGTCTGTCGACTCACAAAGCGAGTATGACCATCACTGATATATCCAGACCCCCTCCCAGAACACTGCATTCATTTGTTATGTGAATGACTATGGGTCATAAAGCCAGTCATCGATCTGCATTTCTTGTTACATATGTGGCATGTCAAATCATCTACGGTTGGTGAAAGTTGACTTTGAACATCATCACTCCCAATGTGTCTTTTTATATGCCTTGTCAGGACCGACCTGGACTTACACACTCTAGTGCAGGTTGGGCACTCAAAGTATGCCAATATGAAATCATCATATGCAATAGACCGTTGGTGTTGGTGTGATATCTGGTGACTGGCAGACCTGCCATGAACAGACATATCCGGTTGCATTGGGCACATGGCCAGTTTGGCACCTCATGGCAATTCAGGGATCTCATCCGAACCCCTCTCTTCAGTTCTGCATATTTTTTGATGCCTCATGGAAGATCCCGACGCCAACAGCAATACCAACTTTCCATATTTCCGTATTCTGTCATCTGCCAAACGAATAACATGGCCTGTCCATCACATTCTGTGTTTGTGTGTAATTGCTTCCACAGAGAGTGAATTGGTTATTTGTAGAACAGCAGTATCAGGGCTGTGAGACATTCAGTGGATTTCAAGCACACACCGAAGACATCGTTGATGAAAACGTTCCAGTATAGACTATAGACTACCCATGTCTCCCATGAATATAGCAGAGATGACATGACGCAGGCATTATATATTTTAATTTTTACCTGCTTTTTATACTCTATTCAACACAAGAATTAAGTGCATTGACAAGGAAGGAGATCCTGCTGAAAAATAAATATTTGTTTTGCTCAAGTTACGAACAAAATGTCCCAAATCTGAATTTACTTTTTAATTTAAATCTTTTTTTTTTTCACTTTTATAAAATCAAATTTAATATTTTTGTTAAGTGTTTCTTTCTTTTGGGATTTTGTATTAAGCAGAAATCAATTGAATGAACCGATTTCAAATTCTTTAGAAGACTTGAAGTCGAATAAATTCATGTATTTCTTTTATCTGTTGGAAATTTTCAGAATCTGGGATGGCTCCATTTAATCACATTAAATGAAGTTAAATACGAGGGCAGGTTGTTTACGATGTCTGGGTAAACATTAGTTACCAGATACCTCAAATTCCCATACCAAAGAGAGGGGGTGGGGGTGGCGAAGGTTTTTATAGGCCATCAAATATGATAAGATTTATGAAAAATCTATTTGCTGACATTGGAGTACCAAAATGCAAGACACAATCAGAACTTTTTCAGTTAAATATTAAAGTAAAAGTTATCTTGCACTGTAAGGTTTGCACTCGAAGACGTCGGGCAAATTCTGCAGTTTTATTTTGAGAGAAAAACAATGATCGAAAAATTAAAAAAAAATACACAAATATATTCTGCTAACGTTAATCCGAAACAAACTGAGAACGAAAAAGCTGGGAAAGGTTTAATATTATGAGAAATGGAATACAAGTTAAATTTGCAGTCCATATATCTCAATAAAAAAAACAAAAATCAAACATGTTCCTTAAGGACGTAGGCGATCATAGTTCTCTGTATTGTTCACTTTCTTTATTATCTGTGAATTTCCATGTGTTCTTGGGAAAGATGGTGGTTTGGAATTCACGAGTCTCTTGTGCTTAGAGTGGTTGCCATGCAAGTTAGATAGCTTACTCTACCTTGCTATTTAATCCATAGCTGTCGGAAGAAGAGACATATTCCTGCCCTTTCCCAGGTTATTAGTACGTGAGTGAACCAAATAGACTAACTGATTTAGATACTAATTCTGATATCGTTCAGAGAAAATGTTTGTTTTTCCTTTTAAAACCAGCGCGCTCGCGCGTAATAGTCGTAAAAGAAATGAAAAATTGTCACAATTGTTATTTACGGCGAAGACCAAATATACTTCAAGATTTCAAGCGTCGCCATTTATAGATGTTAAAAGTAGTACAAGAAGGAAGTTGGAGGAGGAGGAAAAATCAAAAAAAGAATGAAGACAAGCGAAGGAAAGTTTATGGGTCGAAAGAATTCTGTTAATAGAATGCTGCGCCCTTAGTGCCGGAGAATATATTCGGCCAATTTCATGTGTTCCTTCCTGCTCGGAATTAATCAACCATTTTTTTTTACCATCCTCCTTCTAGAAACATAAATAGATCTGGTCAACAAGCGACTCGGGTTAATTAAAGTTAAATAAGTCCTTTTTTTTTTCAAACCATATTTCAAATAAATTCAAAGCTTAAAATAAATAATTATTTTGTTTAAAAGATAATATATATATATAGATATATATTATAATGGCTCTCCACAACTTCCTGTTTTTTGTTGTTCTAATTAACTTTTAAGCCTTTTAACCCCTACCTTGTCCCTGTTCTGTAACCCGTTCACACAAACTCCTTAACTTAGTTAATTAATGTTTTCTCTTGCTTCTTTTGACTTCATTATATCTTCTGAGTTTTAAAATCTCTAGGCCTACTTCCTCTGTTTCAGAAATCTTAGCTGTCTCTTTCTTATTGTAAGTATACATTCTCTTGTTCCTATTCTCCTTAAGATTTCTTCGCTACTCATATGACGCCTTCTTTGTTTCTAACGATATTTTTCAAAGGCTTACTACTTTGCTTAGTTTTCGCAAGGCATCTTTCGCCATATTTTGAGTCACATATTCAGTTGTCTGTTACTAGAAATAGTCAGATTTGTGTACCTGCTCGATTTTGACATTCCCAATATATAAATGGTTTACGGCCATGTCACATTGAACCGCTGGTTTCCGTATGATCACCGAAGTTAAGCAACGTCGAGCCTGGTCAGTACCTCGATGAGTGATCGATTAGGAATATCAGGAGATGTACGCCTTGATATGCGTGTAGAAATTACTTACGACCATATTACGTTAAAACATCGGTTCCGTAGGATCACCGAAGTTAAGCAACGTCAAGCCTGGTCAGTATCTAGATGGGTGATTATTTGGGAATACCCGGTGTTATACGCTTTGATGTGCCGGTTGAAACACCGGTCCCTGTAATATCGCCGAATTTAGAGCCTGTTCAGTTTCTAGACGAGAGACCGCTCTAAGCCTGGGTGTGTGGGTGGCGTAATAGATAATGGCTCGAAATTGTTAATCCGAGAGCCGAGTTCCAATTCCAATTGGATTCATTATATTCACTTATGAGCAAATACCCCTGGGAAAGGTATGAATCCACCTCTAATCCCCCAGTTATGGATTAATTAGTAAAAATTGTATCACTAAACCATTATAATCTCAAAAACATTCTCAGAACCTAAATATATTTTCTGCCTTTAAATAACCTGCAAAAGGTTTGATAAACCGTAAAAAACGAATGAAATACTGATTAGCCATCGTGGCATGTCTTTTAGATTTATTTACATTCTCTGTTTTTATTTATTTTTTTTTTTTTGCAAACTAGTCCAATTCATCTAAGTTCTTTTTTTTTTTTCCATCTATGTTATTAAATTTCCCACATTGTGATAAGAATGGTGAAATGTTGACGTCCAGGTCCTTACAACACTTCACCATTCTTGGTAGATTTTCTGTTGTCACAATCTGTGATATTTAATATCATAAATGGAAAGAAAAAGAAAACAGAATATTATCTTGTTTATAAATGTACGGAATCTACCCTGTACACAAAGTGAGGAATTAGTTTATATATTGATTGTAATATACAAATGATCACCTACTTTATATCCACATTATAATTTCTTATTTGTTTATCAAATTCAGATTAGGTATGAATACACCTCTTTTCCCCCAGCTATGGATTAATTAATTGGCAGGAGAAGTTAAAGACTTCTTTCTTTTTCTTTCTTTCTTTTTCTGTCTGAAACCAAATAGTGTCTTTTCATTTATTTCCACGCTGACAAAACGTAATAGTCCAATATTTGTGCGGTCTTGGCAGAGCGTAACTGTCGTGCGAGCTAAGGAATGAAGAGACAAGCACAATTGAAATAGGATAAATACAAATTAGATTAAAATGATTATAAGTAATTATAAGCACCAAAAATCAAACATTAAAATAATAAATATAAAACTAAAAATATACATAATGTTGATTAGTAATGACAAGAAAATGAAAAATCAATTTTTTAATGTTTTTGGTCACTTTGGGAAAGAAATAATAATTCAAATGGCTCCTACATTTGCTACAGGTTCAACATTTTACTTCGTAGCCTGATTTGAAGTTCATTTTTATTCAATCGTGCATCACCAACCAACATACACACACACACACAGAAATGAAAAAGAAATCTGCAATTACAAAATAAAAAAAAAAGGTTGAAACAGAAGAGACAGAAACACATGTCAGCGAATTTAAAAATTAAACTAACGTGTAACACAACAAATAAAATAAATTTAAAACTCTAAACATATTTTTAACAAAACAAATAAAATCTTACTTCGATAATGGCGAATGAAAGGCGAATGCACTCAGAATTTTGATGATATTTATACGACCTCAATCGTGATGTCAAATAACTCATCAGAAAGAAGGAAAAATTAAATTTCTGTTGAGAGAGAGAGAGAGAAAGAGAGAGAGAGAGAGAAAAAAAAGAGAGAGAGAAAGAGAGAGAGAGAAAAAGAAAGAGAAAGAAAGAAAAGAAGAGAAAGAGAAAGAGAGAGAAAAGAAAAGAAAAGAAAGAGAGAGAAAGAGAGAAAAAGAGAGAGAGAGAGAGAAAGAGAAAGAGAGAGAGAAAAAGGATAGAGAGAAATAGAGAGAAAAAAGAGAGAGAGAAAGAAAAAGAGAGAGAGAAAGAGAGAGAGAAAAAGAAAGAGAGAGAAAGAGAGAAAGAGAGAGAAAGAAAAATAGAGAGAGAGAGAAAGAAAGAAAGAGAGAGAGAGAGAAAAAAAGGATAGAGAGAAAGAGAGAGAAAAAAGAGAGAAAGAAAGAAAGAGAGATAGAGAAAGAGAAAGAGAGAGAGAGAAAAAGAAAGAGAGAGAGAGAGAAGAGAAAGGGGTCGGTGGGTTGTGGGGGTGGTTGGTTGGTTGTATGCTGTAAGTCGTAATGGTTAATATTCACTTGATACTAATACACTTGGGAAAGGTATGAATTCATCTCTCCGAATAGGTAAAGGCGAGGATTATTCCCTGATGCCCAGCCTTTAACAATCTTTAACGAAGTCAAATAAGATTATGAAACAGCTCTAAAAGCATATTGCGAAAAATAATGCCAGCAGAAAAAAGAAATATCATATGGTTTAACTCACAGTGCAAGAAAAATGTAAAAAAAACGTAAGAAAAATATTCTTTAAACTCAGACATAAACACTTCTCCCTATCAAGCATTCGCCACGAGATATTCAACGGAAACATTAAAAATCAGCTACAATTGCGCCGAGAAGATGACACATAATAAAAAAGAAAAAAGAAAAAATAACTGACAAATCCTCTATATCAACCGAACCTACCTGTAACTCCAAACTGTTTATTAAACTGCAATTGCCTGCAAAGCAATATAATATATGAAGCCACTGTAAAAACAGTAGGGAAAAAATAGACATAGGAATAACTGAAGACATTGGAATCAGAGAAACTACGTACAGAAAAATCTTTTAACTATAATAAATACGTGTAAAACACAAAACAAAACATAAAAGTGAACTAAAAAAAACAACTAAAATACGCCAAAAATATCATGTAAAATCAGTAAAACAGCACCAGTCTACAAGAATAAGTTTGAAAAGTTTAAATTTTGTCTAGAGGGTAAAATAGCTATAATCAACTTGCCAGACAAATACAAATTACTAAATAAAGGATCAAAATTTATTTTAAAATGCAGACACGAAAAGAAATTTTTTTCGCTACTTAATATATATATATATATATGTGTGTGTGTGTGTGTGTGTATGTGTGTGTGCGTGCGCGTGTGTGCGTGCGTGCGTGCGTTCGCGCGATTAGTCACAATCGTTTTTAACGTCAACGAAATTAATATAATGAAAACCGCAAGGCCATTTCCTATTCAAGCATTTATTTTTAATACGACAAAAAAGCACACGAATGATATATATATATATATATATATATATATATATATAAATATATATATGAATAAATAATTTTATAATTTTAAACAGAAAAGAAAACCTTTGTTTCTCACTCTTTTTTTCTTTCCTTTTGGTTTTTTCCCCACTTTCCTCTTTCAGTTCATTTCTTTTAGATGAGGGTAGAGATTTGGGTAAGTGTGGATTGATGACACTTCAACCTTGAGCTTAATTGCAATTCCCTACCGTCGTCATCACGACATCTGTGTAATTCAAGACGTTATAAAAAAAAAAATCAGACAAAGCCTTTTCTGTTCATGCGCGCACACACACGCACGCACACATTTCATATATATATAAATATGTGTGTGTGTGTGTGTGTGTGTGTGTGTGTGTAAATATATAGAAAAATAGGAAAGAACACGTAAGGTAAATAATCCGGAGTTCTTTAGTATTTTTGTTTTCATTTTTAAAATACAGTGCTCCATACAGAAGTAGAGCTTAAATTATAATTATTTTTCAAAATTCAATTTAATTTTAATAATTATATTGAATTTTTGGGCTCTTGAAACATGAGTTCACTTATGTAGCGAAGGAATCATATTTTTAAAAAAATAATTATACATACACATTCATATATATATATATATATATATATATATATATATATATAGCCGAGTTCGAATTCCAGTCGAATCCACTACATTCACTTACGTGCTAATACCCTTGGGAAAGGTATGTATCCTCTTCATCTCCCTCCAGCTATGGATAAAATAGCAGGACAGACTGGGTTCTATAGCCTTGGATGGCAACTGGTCTAGGAGAAGGACAACTCTGAATTCAAAACCTGCGGAGGGTCGTTTGGGAACCTTGTGGCATGCATTCGGTGCACCAGGTTTCTGTATTCGTCCTCCAAAAGTGTGGCTGGTCCTGCACGAGGCCTTCACCACTATAATCAAATCTCATGTGCCGGTGTCGGGATGTCGGTTTCCTGGGGACTTATCGGCCTGGCCCTCATACGTCGAACGCGACAGGAGAGTCGATATATATATATATATATATATATATATATATATTTCAAGAGGATAGAATCCCGGGTAGAACTCAGGACAGAGTAAGAATATATATGTATAAAAAGTAAATCTATTTAAACATAGCACAATTCCCCAATAAACTTGTATCCGAGAAAAAAATGAAAAAAAAAAAAAGAAAGCACCAGAAACCTTCGAACAAGTCGAAAGTAATCACCCAGTACCTTAAATGTCTGGTGCAAAGAAGAAAACAGCGAGTAATAAGTTAAAACGAAGAGTGCTGAATACACTAAGTAGAGCAAAAGTAAAATAAATCCTAATGAGCCAGGTACGACGTAGTTTGGTTTTCACCATATGGGATCATGAGGGGGAACTGATGATACCATGTTGTGAAACCTAGGTAGGTTGTACCTGGCTCATTAGGATTTATATATATATATATATATATATATATATATATATATATATATATATATATATTCATTTCTCTGCCATGCAAGGCAGTAAAGCCACTAAGACACAAGGGGTTACCGAGTATGAAGGAATAAAAAAGTGAAACATTATTAAGTAAGGTGAACAATAGAAGATTTAACAAGAAGACAGTAGATAACGATTGACATTGCATTTAGACTTTAGAAGCATGGGGCCGGAAGAGAGTTCCACAAGCGAGATGTGCGAGAAAAGAAACTGTTAGCATTGAAATTCTAGTTAAATTTCAACTGTAAATTGATAAGACCTACTTGCCAATCTAGTACGGCGTATAAAGTATAATAAATAATTATTTCTAGTTGCTGTTAGATCGTTTATTTTGTGTCAGAAAGTTTCTAAAACATGTTGGTTGATTTTGCTTATCGACCTATCAACAACTCTATGGGTTATTCAATGCTGAAATATCAATATTTTGAACACAGTTTTATCGCTTCAACTAAATATATTTTGAACGTAATCGAATGCCT